CTGAAGTGTTACCGGCTTCCCTTCTGTTCATGGTCTGAGCCTCCTCTTTTAGAATTCCAAGAGCACTGGACCGACCGGATATCAGGAGCCTTGGAATGTGGTCCTGGCTCTTCCGGCAACTTCCTACTGACCTGAGGCAAGTCATTCATCGATTCTGGGCCTCCCTGAGTTGGCGGGTTGCACTGTAACTGCTAGGGTTGTTGAAGTTCTAACATGGGGGCAGGCAGAGCCGCTCACCAGATACCATGTGAGAGCCTGTGAGTAAGATCAGCCCCGGGCAGGCAATGTGCATTGAGAAGGTGAATGGTTCTGGGATCTCCAGGAAAACTGGGTAATTGAGAAGAGCTAGGAAAAGGGAAGGGAATATAGGGATGTGTGTTTGGGGGCGGTGGGTGGGTAGGATGAGGAAAGTTCCCCTGGTAGGTCTGGTGGGATGTATCTGTCTAGAGATGCCCCGAGAATGTGGCCCAGCAGTAGATGGGGTGAGGAAGGAGAGCTGGTGTGGAAAGGAGGGAGACCTACCTGTGGGGCCCTCCCCTCTGCTGACCTGTTTGGGCCCCAGCCTCCAGGAAGGTGCTAGTGTCCCAGAATAGGAGGAGAGGTGAGAGGTAAGACTTAAGGAATTGCTGGAGATGGGCACACTCATTGTGTGCAATGCTCCACGTCGGTTTGTGCTGCCTGATGGTTCTTTCCCAAGACCCACCTTGCATCTGTGGATGGCTTTGTGCATTCCTCTGTTGTCACTAGGAGCACTAATTAATTATGTAAATTAAAATTGACTGACTACTCCTTATGTGTGAGACACCAGGCTCAGGCCCAGGGATAGGCGAGGAAAGGAGGGAGCAGCATCTTTGCCTTCCTGATCGGACAGTCTGATCAATGATCACCAGTTAGAGTAAGTGCCACAAAATAAATCAGCTGGTTGCCGCGATGGTGCATCATGGTGCTGGAAGAGGGGTGTCTAATTCAGGTAAGGCGGCTGGGCAGGATTTCTTCATGGAGTGACCGTAACACGGAGGCGTACCTGTGTGTTTTAATTGTGAGCTCCTTGAGGGCAGGGATTAGGTCTTATTTACTTGGAAAGCTCCAGTGCTTAGAACACTGTCTGGCATTTATTATGAAAATTGGGATTATTTTTATGGTAGGTACTCAATGAACTTTTGATGAATAAATAAATGATTTCCTTCCAGCAGTTCCTATTTAAAGCACCATGTACTTAATCACATGAAGACAATTATGTCAAACACGCCTGATACTCTTATGCCTGATCTGTCTTTATTTCTTCCTCTCTCGTCTGCCCTTCATTGATTTTTGTTTGTGTCTCCATTTGAGGCCTCAGATGTGTTGAGTCCAAATAGAAGAACACACACACACATACACACACACACATACACACACACACATTACCCACCACCTCTATTCCTGCAAATGCTGCTGATTCTATCCGAGAAGCTATTAAGCGCTCCCTAATACAGCAAACCTCTCATTGACTATCACATGCCTCCTTAAACGACCTTTGAATAGTGCTTTCTTTTTATTGCTTTGTGAAGTTTAACAGCGCCAATTGTGATTACTCTAGCTTATGATAAACCCCAGATCTATAAAACTCCTGTTCATTCATTATTTTTCTCTTGCTCCTTCTCGAGCTGTTATTTATTTATTTTTGGGGGGACGTAGCAAGGAGCAGGGGGCAGGAGGAGGAAGAGGGAAATAAAAATATACCAAATTAACAGGGAAATGGATGAAATAGGGGACCACTTCTCCCCGGGTGACAGACATCCTATTAGATACTGTTAAACAGAACAAATATGCCTTAATACAGAACAAGTAGGTCTTTTATATTTATTCTAAATTGGAAATATAATGATTACCACCTTATCTTTCATGGAAGAAGCAGCTAATTGTTCCAGTATCTCACTAATTCCAGCATCTGGGAGAAAATTATTTTTTACTATTTTACCAATTGTTCAATTTATACCTAGGTGTATAGTGCAGCGTGGACAGAGATTTCTGTTTCTTGATCTATATCATGGCTGCTATTCCAGTTCAATTATTAATATGTGGAAGTTATAATTATTTTGAGTATTGGTACAAGATAATTATAAACCATAAAATAGCTCCCCATGCTCGCTGATGCCTTTTCTTATCTGCAGACATGCTGGAGTTTGGGCTTGTGATTTTTTGAGAGAGCAACACATGTATAATGTGGCACTTGGGGTCGCAGGACTGGCTGGAGTGGGGGTAGAGGATCCTTCACCCCCTGCAGGTCCTTTCGGTTCTCCTCCTGTGCCTTCCACCCTCCAGAGCCAAAGCCAACCCACCATATACATCTCTCCTTCTGCCCCACTGTCTCACCTGCCTCCTATCTGGTCTCCTGTTTGCTAGTTGAGGTTTGTAACTCATCATCTATGGTGGTTTAGCTTGCTTGCCACCTCTTCGTCTCCTTGTTTACCCAGCAGCAGCTCCTGGGTGTGTGGTTGTGTGCATGTGCATGAATCTGTGTTGGGGTAGTTGGGAGGGGTGAGAGCCAGCCACATGCAAAGAGGGAGGCAGGGGTGGGGAGTTAGCTGCTCTGTTACCCCTTGGCTATGGCCATTGCCTCCATTCCCTCCCTCTTTCTGAATACCTTGCTTTATTACTAATGAATCTACTCTAGGGGGAGGATTTTGGCAAGGGGTAAGGCACCTGGGATCACTCATTCTTAACCAAGTCAACCATAGTCAGCTGAAAGGAATGACACATTGGTGTGGACTGCATGTGTTTGGAGAAGGGGCTCGGAGAGAATGGGCATTGTTTGGTATCTTCCCATTTTAACAAAAAAAATCTTTAAAAGGCCATCTTAGCTTAGCTGTGGTAGAAAGTAAAGCTAACTGTCTTCAGAAGTAATCAGATCCTGGTCTTGGTTCCAAGTCCTCCTATAGTCCCCTCCTGACTCCCTTCCTTCCCTCTTTACTTAAACAATATCTACTCCCCACTTAATATTAAATTTCTTTTTCCTACCATTTTCTTAATCCCTGGGTCAGTATTACCATTACAACTTTCTGCTATGGCAAATGCATCAAGACCCCATTTCTATGTTAAAGCCCCTAATACCCGACGTGACTATATTTCAAGATAGGGCCTTTACAAAAGTAATGATGATTAAAGGAGGTCATAAGGGTGGAGCCCTGATCTGGTAGGATGAATGTCCTTATAAGAAGAGACACCAGAGAGCTTGTTCTCTCTCTCTCTGTCAGGTGAGGACATGGGGAGAAGGAAAAGAGCTTCTCACCAGAACCTGACCATGCTGGTACCTTGATCTTAGACTTCCCGTCTTTAGAACTGTGAGAAAATAAAGTTCTGTTGCTTGAGCCATTCAGTCTGAGGTATTTTGTTATGGCAGCCTGAGCTGACTAATATATCCCTCCCCTGGCCACTTGTGAAAGGTTGGTTGGAGTGGGGGTGTTAAAACGTGTTCATCAGACTTGTGATAGGATTCTTTTTAGGCCCCAGGATCTGGAGTCAGTATCCTTCTACTGCGGTCAGACACTTGGAGCTTGAGGTTGCAAATCCAGCCCAGCTCCTGACTTTTTGGCTTCCCCAATCCCCATGAACCTCATTTTCAGCTTCTCTAATGAGCAATGCCAGCAAGAGAATGTGTCCATTCAGCACCACGGACAGAGGTACCCTGTCAATTCCCACAAATTAGAAGTTACTGCCTAGCCCTCTCACACAGGTGGTGCTGGGAAGGGAGGAGGTAGGCTGAGCAAGAGACAAGTCAGGGAGGAAGACCATCTGGCAGGATGCAGACAGTGCAGCCCCTAACCCTGGCTGTGCTCAGCCAGGGGGCTCCTGCAAACGAGAAGTGCCTTCTCGAGGCTGCAGCCTTCTCACACAGATGGGCTGCAAAATGAAGGAGGGGCTACTCCTTGCACTTAGTTGTGCTGGCCTGACTCTTGTCAAGTTGTCACCCTGATGGGTGCTTGCCACAAACCTATAGCTGGCAAGGCATTAAGTCTGGGGAACCTGTGGGGGTACCGGTGTCATGGACTGTGGGTTAGGAGAAGAGTCAGCTGAGGAGCAATGGGAAGAGGGCATCAGAACTTTGGTGTAACTTTGGGGATAGCAGTGGTACAGGTGAGCTGCCTCCTCCATGCCTGGAATGGGAATGAGGGTACAGGGGCTCTGGGCCTTGGGAGGGGAGGGGTCTGGCTCATGGCAAGCTGGTGGAGAGCCAGAGCTTCATTTGTCTGACTTTAATGAATAAATGGCATCCCCAGCCATTGTTTATCTACTTTTGAATCCTGACAACAGTTTGTGGCATCTGATGGAGAGGGTTATTAGCTGCACGGAGACAGATGGTTGGGGACGAGGGGATTGGCTCTTTATTATAGCAGCCCCACAAGTGACAGCACTCCGTTTACTTCCCAGCCTCCATATCAATGTCAATACCTTCCTGTCACCTCCTGTGACCCAGTCAAGCCTCAGAGGAAAGACCCCGAGCAAAACGAAGGCAGAATGGCCCATGAGTGAGAGGGAGAGGTAGGGCCAGTGGAGTTGGAAAAGAGGTTAGATTTCCCATTGTTAATTCTTTGAAAACAAAAACGCTGCCTTATTCTTCAGGATTTTCCCAAGTGCCCTGTAAGGGGCTGTTTATTCAATAGGCATTCAAAAAATGTGAATGATTGAAGAGAAAGGTAGAGAGGTCTGGATTAAAAAAGATAATAGAAGCAGATTTAATTGTGCTGGGTGAGTGGTTGGGGAACAAAGGTAGGGAAGAGAGAGGAAAAGAAATAGAGGACACAAAAGGTTAGGAAGATAGCATGAGGAAAAGTGCTTACGAATCAGCATACTGTGTTTCAGGCATTAGCTACTCTTCCCCACATTTCTAGATAAAGAACTTCATGGAAATCAAATGGCTCTGTCCACTGCCCCAGGTTCTTCTTCTTGGTACCAGAGTTGCAGGACATAGCTTCTACCCTCCACATTACCCCCAAGAGGGTGGGCAGGTTCTCACTGACCTTCATTCATTCTCCGAAATTTGTCCTTGGCCATGTAGCCCAGCACCAGACAGCATCCTCTCTTCTGGAGGCCCAGCTCTGGAAGAAAAGCACAGGTGAGTGAGCGGGGAATGGATCAGGGGTCAGTAAAGACCCCTTCGCAGTGGGTATGAAGTTGCTGCTCTCATAAACAGGGTTACTTATGTAACATTTACATAGCACTTGCTATGATCCGGGCATCCTACTAAGCCGGCAATTCCTCACTTGATTCTCACAATAACCCTATGAGGTGCATACCAGTATTATCTCCATTTTATATCATCCCCATTTACAGATGTATTAAGTAGGCAGTCTTAGATGGAAGAGCTAGCTGACGGCAAACCAGGAGTTTGAATCTAGGCAGTATGGCTCCAGAGTCCACGCTCATAACCACTACTCTATAGGTTAATGAGGCTCTATAGATCCCAGGCTTGGGGACTATATCCACCTCATGCTGGGACTGTGGTCAGACCTGCCAAAGGAGAGGCAGAGTCCAGCTAGTGGTGTCCAGGATGGAGCAATGCAACCAGACACAGAGCAGGGTGGTTCAGAAGAATGAAGAAGTGGTTGGGTGAATTTGGGAGAAGACACAGGAGTGGAGGTAGAGGAGTCTACTTTTTGGGAGAGAGTGAGTTTCTGGGTCTGGGGATTCCTGGACATTCTCATATTCAGGCACAAGGCGGTGCCATCCTCAAGTATTTATGAGGTGTGGACTCGAATGTGGAGCACAGGAGTTGGGATGGCTAAGAAACACAAGGTGTAGATTCTGGTCCCACAAGACTTTGACACAATTGGAAAAGCAAGGCGGAACAGCAATTCTAGGTAGCAAATGCAAGAGACTTTTTTTTTTTATTCCCACGGTATTTGATAAATGGGTGCCCCTTGTACTTGGGTGTCAGGCTGGAGTTACGTCTGCCTCACAAGAAGGCAAGAGGTCCTCGCCGGTATTTATCCTCTAATCCTGGTTTGTCTTAAGCACCTTGTGGGTTTTGAAGCCATTCTACACCAAATTCCTCTTCTGACCCCCCACAACACCCCCCTGAGGTCGGCAGACAGGTTATTGCTCTTCATGCTATGCAGATGAGAAATCCCAAGTTCAAAGATGCTAAGTGACCTCCCAGGATTATTTTAGACTCCCTGCCCCCACTTCTTTGCTTAGGACTCATACAAACTCGACAGATGCCATGGTGAATGGACAAGGGGTAGGATTTCTGGAAGAGGGCGTGTGACTGCACCCCCTCCCGGGGCTTGCCACGCTTTCTGGGGACCCAGGGGCTCCCTCCATGGGTCCCGCAGGGAAGGAGGGTCCCACTGAGTGGTGCATCACAGCAACTCCTCCCGTGACACTGGTGTTTCTCGGAGCCCTAGCCCGTTAGCAGCTATGCTGTTGGAGCTTAGACAGGGTGAGATCATTTCCCCTCCCTACCTCTCCATGCACCTCTTGTCACCCAGGTTCTACCCGCCATGGATTGCAGGATGAAAGGGCCCGTGAAAGACAGATAAGTCAAGCTTAGGGGCTCTTGCCCTAGAGAAAAACAAAGTGTGGCAGAATGCCATGGCCTTGGGAGGTTGCTAGCTTTGATCTCCCAATTCTTTAAAGGGGTTTATTAACTATCAGTAAAGAGCAGAGAAGCAGATCTGAGCGTGCGTTTTCCAAAGGCGCTCACTTCTCTTCCGTCCCCTCCACGTGCGCTCATCTGAAGGCACGGCCAAGCCAACCTCACTTCAAACAGCTTTACATCTTGTGCGCCCAAATTGACGATGTTAAGTTCCCTCATCCAAGGCCTTGGCCCTTTCTTCAAGGGCTCCTGCTCCGTTGAGGGCCCTGTGGATCAAAGCCCCTTTGATGTTTACTTACTATATTTGTGGATTCTTTCTAACAACCACCTTCAAGAGGCAGGAATGCAGCCTGCCAGGAGGGGGCCTGCGGAAGTACAAGCTGTGAGGAGGCGCCCCGAGCTCCCGCGAACAATAGCCTCTTGCCTGAGACTCAGACTATAGAGAAGCCTCAGCGTGCTGACAACGGCCGCGTTAACCAGCCCATTATAATCGCAGGAGCATTGTTCATTGCCAGAACCATACAACTGCTGACGGTTCTTATTATATTTTCCATTGACTTCTTATGCCCATCTAAAGCACATCAGCAGGGACTCCTAATGAGAAAAGGAACTGGGGTTCCTGCATCGAGCCCAGGGAAGCCCGGGCGGGGGTAGCAGAAGATGCTGGATGGATTTAGGCCAAACATTCTTGTTGGTTTTGCTGGACCCCCCCTCCCCCAAGCTCTCAGGGAAACGGAGGGGGCATAATTGTCCTAGACATTTAGAAAGCGGGGTCGACCTGTTGAATCCAGATCATCTGTGTTGGCTGTCTCTGCCACTCCAACTCAACCCATCCTATGTCACATAATGGGTTGCCCCCAGGGTGGCTGCCCGAGGAAAGAGACCATATGTACAGTCATTATAAGGAAGAGTCTCACTGACCATGTTTGATTTTTGCAAATGAGCAGGAAAAGAATTTTTTTTTTTATAAAGATTTTATTTATTTCTTTGAGAGAGAGAGAATGAGAGAGAGCACATGAGAGGGGTTAGGGTCAGAGGGAGAAGCAGACTCCCCGCCAAGCAGGGAGCCCGATGCGGGACTCGATCCAGGGACTCCAGGATCATGACCTGAGCCGAAGGCAGTCGCTTAACCAACTGAGCCACCCAGGCACCCAGGAAAAGAATTTTTTAGAAATCTGATTAATAAAAGAAATGGAGGATGAGCAATTTCTTAACGTGTTTGGCTCATTTAATTTGACACGTGTGGGTTAGTCTTAATTATTTAGGCTGTATTATGAGGCGCTAACAAGCACACTGCAGAAATGTATTGAGTGAGAGAGCTCTCCGACAGTCCTTACCGAGAAGTGGGGAGAAGCCACTGGGATTTTTGCAAGAATGAGCAGGTTGGAGAATTAGTGAAGTGAGAATTAGATATCTATCCACATATGGAAATTTGGGATGTTCTTCGAAGAGATTTGCAGAGCTAAATTAGAAGTCACTGGGTCTGCGTGAGGAAGCAGGCCAGGGGGCCTGAAGTGGGGGAGGGGAGGAGACCGTGGAAGCCTAGGTGGAGAGGCGGTGTGTTGTCAAAGGCACTGAGAAGAGTGAGGGCCAGGGGGAAGCAGGAGGTCACCGCTATGTCTTGGGGCATCTCTACCCTGCCAGACTAACCAGGCTCCTAGGGGAGAGATGATAGACTGTGACACAAAGAACAGGGATCTTTCACTTTGTGAGCTAGACAGCGCCAGGCTGCCACCGTCCTTGTCACAGGCACTGGGACCGAAGGTGGAGTCAGATCACAGATGCCCATTTTAACAGCAAGATATCAGGGTCTTCTCCATGGCAACCTTGAGGCTGCAGGCTTTGGCTGAGCACTTATCAGTAGCAGAACCACCGGACACAACAAAGGTGTCCACGGAAAATGATGAACGTGAATCGAGTCATCCTGACTTAAAAGGAAAGTTCACGGCAAAGGAGTCCAGGGTCACCTGCAGATGGGGTGGGGAGGGCACTGTCTGAGGAGAGGAAAGGCTTCAGAAATACTACTGTGCAAGGAAACATTTATGGGGAAAGCGCATGTTTCTTGGGGAGAAGGGTACGCACCCTAGGAACTCCTAGTCTCTAGACTCTGAGCAACAGAAGGGTCGGGATTGTGCTGTTTTCAGCTCTGAGTCCCTGGTCCCGAGCACAGTGCCTAGCACCTGGCAGGAGCTCAGGGACAGTCTTCTGATTCAATGAGAGGGTCAACCACAGACTCTTGGGTAATGACCCGCTCTCCCCTCCCCTAGGTCAGAATCAAATCAGGTGGGCTGAGGCGTCGCACAACGGAGTAAGTTAAGTGAGGGTGGTTGCCGAGTGAATGAAAGTTGTAATTCATTGGAAGAGAAGTCTAGGAAATGTGAGATTTCCTCTGGGAGGAATAAAAAGGGACGACTTTATAAATGGAAACTTTTTCCTTCAGTTTCACGGGGTGAAGATGGGACTTTTCCTAGCCTTAGGATTTCTTTATTCTTAGTTGTAATAACAATGATACAGTGCTATTACTTCACATTTGCAGGACTCTTGGTTTTTCACCATGCTGTCATATTCACTACCTTATTAGAGGCTCACAGTAGCTCCGTGAAGTAGGTGAGGAAGAATGGTCTATTTCCTCCATTTTGGTTGCAGGGACCGAGGCTCAGAGAAGTAAAAGGACAGTTCAAGGCCAAAGCACTAGCTGGTAACAGCACCCAGGCTGGAATCCAGGTCTGATTTCTAGCTTAGCTCTCAGGGTAAGGTCTGCGATCCCAGGGCTGCCGATGCTATGAATCAAGACAATAGAGGACACAGGTTGGCAGTCCTGGCTGGGCCCTTGTTCTGGGTTGGACTATGTCTCTCCCACCAATTCACATGTGGAAGTACCACGGGATGTGACTTTGTTTGAAGATCAGGACTTGACAGAGATAATCAAGTTAAAACGGCCATTAGGGGGGCCTGGAGCCAATGTGACTGGTGTCCTCATAAAAAGGGGAAATTTGGAGGCAGACACACACATAGAGAGGGAGTGTGCCATATGAACACGAAGACGGCCGTCTACAAGCCAAGAGAGAGGCCTGGAACAGATTCTTCTCTCACAGATCTCAGAAGGAAACCACAGGCCAGACTCAAATCTTACAAAGATCATTTTAGCACTGTGCAGATGACGGATGGGTGGGGGTAAGCCCGGACAAGAGAGTGCAGTTGTTCAATGCCTGCCATCCTCCTGGTGAGCCATGCTGGACTGACATCTGCTCTCTGTCTCCTCTCTCTGAAGATAGTCTGAGATCAGAGAGCAAGTGCAAGGACCCTGAGCTTCCTCAGTGGGACATTCAGTGCCTCTATCTCCCTGCCACCTTGACACAGGAGAGTGGTGGAGGGGCTGCAAATAGCTCACCAGATGGTTCCTGAGACCATATGGAGAAGGCGTCAACTGGACCTGGCTGGAGTCACAGGGAGGCCATGTGTGTTTTGAAACAATTGGTCCTGGCTGGAGCCTGGCTCCAG